GGGCAACCCCCCCCCCCCCCCTGCCACAGACCCACTGCCCCTCCCAGGTGCTGCCAGCTAGATTTTCAAGTGATTGCTCCCTGACCTGAATTATTTGAGTCAAAATTCATCAGGCTAACACGAACAACGGCAACAGCAAGCGCTGCACACCCAGTCGAGCTTAGGGCAGTGCTCCTTCTCCTCCTTCACACAGACTGACAGAGCAGTTGCTGGGGGCAACAGCAGAAGGCGGGTAACAATCAATGGCAGAAGGCAACAGCTTCACCTTGCTCAGGTCTCTGCAGAACTAACTTCCATTCGCGGCCTCAGGTGCCCTGTAGTATCTACCCAGCAGAGAGGCACTTCACATGGCCCTGCTCAGCAGCGCATCATGCTCTGGCGTCTCTTTACCAGGACCACCCTCATCACCGAGGACCTAAACCCGCTGCAGCCGCTGCAGCCCCAGCAGCAGAGCTCACAGCGCGCTGGCATCTGAGCAAAAGAAAACCAACTCACGTTTGTGTCACAGAAGCCCACGGTGCAAGGCTTCCCCTTGCGCAGGAACAGGAACTGGTCGTTAGCGTCGACATACGGTACGCACCGATCCTGCTCGTCCCGGCAGCACACCTTGCAGGAGTTATCTGTTTCTGTAATAATGCAACAAATTTGTTCCTCAGAAGCATCAAGAGGCCCGGCTGACCACGTTCCTGCCCAGCTTCCCCATGGGAAAGGCAGGACTGTGCAAGTCGTCCAATTTTGGGCACTCTGATGACCCCAGCCTGAAACTCAATCACGTGCCCTTTGCGATGTATTAAGGGACACAGGGGGAGCAAGGTCTCCAAGCTGATACCCCAACACCGCAGGAATCAACAGGCCAGTGAAGAGGTTCCAAACACATCCAAGAGACAGATTTAAGTATTTCTTGGGCTTTGGGTCCTCTAGACACCCTCCTCCTTGGCTACACCCTCCTTCTCAAACGGTGGGTGGCTCACAGCCCTTCCTCCTGCTCCCAGCTGCTCTACCACCTTTAAGAGGTGATGAGGAGAGCAGGCAAGAGGTGAAACAAATTATTCACAGAAGTGTACGACAGGCATGTTTGCAGTAGCAGGGCCTGGACTCGGGGATCTTGTACTCTCAAGGCGCTTGAACCTCTCTGAAATCTTTCTTTAAGCACTTGTTGGAGGCCACTGCTCCTCTGCCACATGCCTGGTCCAGAGGCTGGCTGGGATCTCCTTACGATTCCCTCCCGCACACCTGTGGCAGAGGAGGTGAACAGGAGGAGAGTGCCCTCTCCATTATCTAGGGTGCCAGACCGCAGGTCTCATTTTAACATCTCCCGTCTTCTGGTATTCTAGGATGAAGGACATTCACACTCCTTTCCCAAAAGAAAACACTACCCCTGAGAAAAACACAACCATTTATAAACTTTTTCAGAAACCATAAATGCAGCCCTTCAACAGGAAAGCCGGCAGCGACACCAGCACTCTCCAAGAAGCGAAGCCGAAGTGCGTTTCAGCTCAGCCCTGTGTCACCCACCATTGCACGCACACGACCGTAGGTTCTTCTCCCTCTCGCAGAATGGGACGCACTCTCCATCTTTGCACTTCCCCATGTCCACGCAGACCGTGTCGTCCGGCGCGTTCCCGGGAGGGGGGCACTCGCTGCTGTTCCCTACAGCCAGGGCGACAACAGGGTGGGAGGACTCGGTTAGAAGGAAAGTGCAGAGCACCTACCAGAAGAAAAAATGGGACAGTGAAGAAATTCAGGCTCATCCTGAGGGGAACCCAAGGAGTTCATTCTTGGCTTCCCTCTGCAGGCTGCCTGCCAGCTCCTCTGAGAGGCAGCAGAAGCTCTTGAGGCTTTCAACAACTCGGGCATTGTGGCACTCTGGCAAGCAAGCAGTAGGTATCGGACCCTGGAGGCACCATCAGCGAAGCAGCAGCAGCTCTGACTTGACTCCTTGCCTCCAGGAAAAATTATGAGGAGGGAGCAAACAAATGGGGAAGTGAAGGAGAGTCACAGTCATTCCACCCTTTCTATGGCAAGATTCAGTTCTCTCCTGTCCCTGCCCAGGGATACGCTCTGTTTTGACTTTTCTTAAGGGAAAGAAACAATGATGGAAAAATTAAAAAAAAAAAAAAAAAAATCAATATTTTTCAGATTCTGCTGGGCAGTAAATCATGAAGCGAGTCCTGAACTACAATGAAACTCATTATAAGATGATTTCATGATGCTTAACTGGTCTCTAAAATTACATGTACCGGATGAATAAAGGGCAGTAGTTGGCAAACAGACTGAACAGAGACCGAGTCGGAAGCGCTTGGCCAGCTGACGTAAAGGGGACAGAACCATGTCCTACCAGTGCAAAAAGACTCTCCTTTACAAGTGGCATTTATGGCTTCTTGGCATTTCTTTTGTGCACTTTCAAACTGGCAGCCTTTACAGCAGGGACTGTTCCGATCACTGTGGAAAGACCAAAATGAAAGGAAGAAATATTAAGCAAATTTTTTTTTTTTTTCAAAGAAGTATGAGCATGACAAAATGATGGTTAGGGAGAGGTTAAAAAAAAAAAAAAAGGGCAGTTACTTCTTGGAGATTGACTCCCTGATTCAGAACCCTTGTCTCCTCCCATAACCACCTTTCTGCACACCCACCTCACTCTTCATTTACCAAAGGTAAAAGCGTGTCAAAAGTACAACATATTGAGAGACAACACAGAGATCTTGTATTTATTCAAAGCACCTGGATCCTCTTGTCACTCGTTGAGCAACTATGGACAAGATTTTCCACTGTCTTCTTCCTCATTCATCTTTCCCTCCCTTTGTCCTGGTTTACTACTCTTTATTGCGTGCTCTCTTTATTCTCTTTGTTCTGCACCTGCAAGAAGGCCCTTAGTATAAACACAGTCATTGAAGCTGAGGGAAATTCCTGGAAAACAACAGGAGTTGCAGAGGCTCTCTACTGTTACGTGGTGCAGAGCTGAACTCTGAAAAACCAGACTGGACATCGTGTTGCAATAGGGCCATGAACACCCCAAAGAGCAAGAACAGAAGGAGGATTCATTTAGCGCAGTCACTGCGTTGCCAGCTCAAACGCATTTTGCGGCAGTCTTGAAAATTCCAGCATGCAATCCCTGTTGAAAGCCATCTAGCAATGCAAGGAAGAATTGTATTTGCACAGAAAAATTTTAATATGAATTTCTGAATGCCTGATTTTGCTCTGAAATATAAAAACCACCACCTTCAAGTCTGTGGCTCTTGACACTTCTCAGAAAAAGTAACAGAATTAAATGGAAAAATTATTGTATGCAAGCAGTGCATTCACTCAGCAACCTTTTCTGAAATTCTTTATTGTCTTCAGCTCACACGTTTAGCTTTAAAGCCAGGACCCAGGCCTGTGGCACTGCAGGTGGCTTTAGGAGCTTTCAGCCCAGCCCATCGTTCTCTCCCGCGTCAGAGGTTGCAGCTTATCACCCCTTACCTGCATTTGGCACCGTCTTTCAGTTTACAGTCTGCAGAGCAGCAGGGATCAGCCTGTTGATACAAGAGGCCGGGGTCGCATTCCTCCCCTTCGTCCACCCTGGAGTTCCCACACACTTTGTTGTTGCGCTCCTTGAAGCACTGCTGGGCCTTGATCTCTATGGTCCTATGGATGGATTTTTTGCTGCAGCTTGAGAACATCTAGAGAGTCACGAGGGGAAAGAGCAGCACTGAGGCATGTACCTGTCAACAAGTGGCATCTAAGACAGTCTCTGTCTCCTTATGCCTTCAAATTCAAATTCTGGTGCCCCAGAAAGCAGTTATTCCCTCTATATTGTCAGTTTGATACCTTGGAAAAAATGTTAAGATGGGAAAGTAATGGTTGGGTCCATAAAGGACATTGCTACCTTACAAGGCAAGGACACTCGCACAGAGTCTGGCTGTCACAGAACCAACTCCAGCTCTCCCACGGCTTCAGGAGCACCGGCAACCATTCCCAGGAAGGGCTGCATTGTCCCTCGGTGGTAGGGCTGGGCATGACCCACAACGAGTTAAGACCAGACTGTGGACTAACCATTCCCTCGATAATCTTGGATTCTCACCCACAGAACAGGCCCCATGCCAAGCCCCCGCTGCCAGCCTGAGCCTCTGAGCACCACGGCCGTGGCACCTGGTGGTCTCTCTTCAAAAAGAACAGCTACAGACCACTCTAACATTATCTGGTACTGCAGGGCCCGTACTTGACTCTTGCTGATGACTTGCTTGTAGGAGCATGTGGCTGCAGCTAATTACAAACAATTAAAAAAAAAAAAGCACCTGGACATGCTATGACCTCCAGTGAAACTCAAAACCCAGACGAGTTTCTCTTGCAGAGAATCCAACAGGACCCAAGTATGGTTTCTTCTCATGGCTAACTCATCACATTCCAGGCTGCTTCAAGCTAGAGGAATCATTAACTAAACGCCCTTCCCGTGCAAAGGGTCAGTGACCATAGTGAAAACTTGTACGTGGAAGCAAAACTACGCAACTATACCTTGTTGTTTTCATGATCTCCGCTGACAGCAATTGGATACATCACGTATTTCCCTCCCTGGTCTTCGGTGGGGGCACATTCTGGCAGGCTATCAGGATCATGCTCTGCTCCAAAGTTATGACCGAGTTCATGTGTTGTAACCAGGTCTGCCTCCTTTATTGAACATGAAAAAAGCAATGTTGAAAAACAATTAGTCCAAACAGGACAGGACAGATGATCCCAGCTACTTCCAGGCCACCAGCAATGCGAAGATACACTGAGATGGAAAGGGACTTCCCTAGGAACGTTTTTTTTTTAAAGCGGGGGGCCTCAAGGCAAGTAAAATTATGGTCCATTTCCCAAGTCAAGTTGCAGGACTAGGTCTGAATATGAAACCAGTGTTAAAGGCAAAATGCTGTCCTAGAATACCAATTAAGTCTTGTTTTGAATGCAACGCAGATACTTAAAATATGAAAAGTTCCTTTTAAATAGCTGGAAGGCATAAAAAGTTTTAACAAAAACCAATCCAAACAAACACCAGATACTAGGATTAGTTGATCTCTTGTTTTAACACAACTTGCCCATAGTATTATTTCTTCTAGATGGATGATGACATTAGGAGTGATGAATAAGCTCTTCTATTGTATGATTACTAGGAAAGACACCTACAAGCGTGTGGCCCAACGAGGATGGATTTCCAACATCATTCATGGAGGACAGGACTCCCACTGCTGAGAATTCCAAACCGGCTCTGCCTCGCCACATGGCTCCCTGCACCGCCTGACCAGCAGTGTCACAAGGTGACAACCACAAACAAAACCAGCACAGAAATAAAAGTTAACCATAAGGAACCGAGTGCAAGGTCCTCCACCTGGGTGGAGGCAACCCCAAGCACCAATACAGGCTGGGCACTGATTGGCT